ATGTTATTCTTGGTATAAGAATAATGAGAGACAATAATGGCCTAACATTATCTCCATCTCATTACATTGAAAAGATTGTAATGAAGTATGGTGAGGCAGATAGTACGCCAATGACTATGCCTTATGATACTAATCTAAAGCTAATACCCAACAAAGACAAGCCAATAGCACAAAATGAATATGCAAAGGTGATTGGATGGCTTATGTATGCCATGGTTTGTACAAGGCCGGATATTACTTTTGCGGTTGGGATGCTAAGTCGATTTACAAGTAATCCAAGTAAAAAACGCAGGTATGCTGTTCATAGAGTTCCAAGGTATTTAAAGAGTACAAAGAATTATGGCATTAGTTACTTAGTTTTTCTTTCAATTTTAGAAGGATATACAAATGCTAGTTTGAACTCAAATAGATCAAATCATACCTCTATGACTAATCAAATCAAGCAGACTCCACCATGGCTGCTAAATTTATAGCTTTAGCATCTACCACCCAAGAAAAGGAATGGTTGAGAGATTTACTCTGTGAAATTTCATTGTGGCCTAAACCATTGGCACCAATCTTGATACATTGTGACAATGAAGTAATTGTATCAAAAGCATATAATCAAGCTTACAATAGAAAGAGTCGATATATTGGACTTCGACATAGCATTGTAAGACAAAGAATTAGTGATGGTATAATCACTATAAATTATGTGAGGTCTGGTGAAAATTTAGCGGATCCGCTTATCAAAGGTCTGAAAAAGGACATGATAATAAAGATCTCAAGAGGGATGGGTCTCAAGCCTATCAACTAAATTTTCAATGGTGGGAACTCACCTTGACGCTTGTGGCTGACTTGCAAGTCTCGAGTACTGACCATTCTACCACATGGATGATTGCAAGTACTAATTTGTGTTTTCCATCCCAAGGTGTATAGTGCTTGGTTCCCGTAATGTGTAAAGTAAGGTTGAACGAAAGTTCTTAATAGACCCATAACATGTATATGTTGAAGTACTATAATTACGGGATACTTTCGATGGGGGCTACCTATATGAGTGGAAGTGTGGTCGCTTTTAGGAGTTAAAGGCTTGACTTAGACAGCACTCATGAACGGATGCAAAACACAAGGCCATAAAACGTGTTGGCAAAACTAGATACAAAGTGAGCAAGGAAGCTTGTGCGTGTTTAGTGGCTTGATTAGTCAAATGAAGATTCGATGGTTCAATGCTTGGTCAACCACTCAATTTAGACTAAAACCAACCACACTCACTAAGTAAAGGTTCAAATCCGCGGGATACCTTCATTTATACACAACGTTTCCCAAAGTTATTGGTATTTGAAAATTTTGAAAATGGTGGGGCATTGCCGGTGTATTTTCAAAATCAAATATTATATCACATGATGAAAAGCTATCTTAACTTAAGAGTTATGTCACATAAAGTGATATAATGTGTCCATTAAATTATAGATAGATTTTCATGTGAATGGTTATGCCTCTTTCAAAAATGATATTCAAAATTTATGAGGCATATTGAAAAGACACCAAGGCTCAAAAAGTTAGATATAAAAAGTTATTATTTCAAATTATAACTCAAAGGTTATAATTTGTGAAATGAATAGTTATCTTTTCATAAGATGATTATTGAAACAATAACTATATCTAAAAGTTGTGTTCGGCAAAATGAGAAGATGCTTTTTAGCTAAAATGGTACCTAAATGAAAGGGTTGTGTCCTTGAAGAAGAGACACCTAGATATCTATATAAAGGGCTTGTTTTCAACCATTTTAACATATCAATATTGAAAGCAAACACAAAAGTAAGAGCAGAACT